TCTTTATTCTTGTTTTTTTGTATTTGGTATCTTATAGTAAGCCTTAGTGTTGATTTTTTTCAGGGTTGTAGCAGGGGTCCAGGGGCAGATTAGGGTGGGGTTTCAAAACACTGATACTGCCATCTGTGGATGGTCTCAAACTAAACAAACGTATGCAACTAAATAAAATCGAGTACTGGGAGAGGCTGCCAAAAGGCACATTATTAAAAGCAGCCAGCCGACATACCTCGAGTGTGATAAAATAGTTAATCTGTTGTCAACTATCTTTTTCTTTTCATTTTACAAACGCACAAACACTATTAAAATCAGTTCTTAAGTATGAATATATTTTGTACCTGAATGACAAATACTCATGTACAAACAAGTGCACCAAGTACAAGTACATGATTGAATACAATGATAATGTACGAATTTTGTATAAGTGATTGAATTATCACGAAAACTAATTAATTTAGCCATATACATGTATTTAATAAGTAAAAAATAAACAATCTCTCGAATTGCTTAGGTTATCCCATCTTCAATATTTTCATGCCCTTGACGGCCATTATTCGACGCCGATAGTCCACGAGCATTCGTCGCTGAAAGTCCACGAGCATTAATGGTTGATGATGCAAACATACTTCCGCTAGGCGTTATCATTGGAGTATTCGTACTTCCGGTGTTTAAATGAACTGAAAATAAGGAGTTTCGCGCAACAGAATTGTTATTTCTTGTCCGTGCAAATGGAGTACCTATTCCACTAGAACCTCTTGTATTTCCTCTAGATGACCCTTGACGCGCTTGATTCAAATCAAAATTTCCTAGAGAATACGGGGGAGGAAGGTCCGCCTCTATTTCCGAATATGGGGGTGGAGGTTCCATCGTAGGAATTGCTACAACAATGTAAACAATGTATGTTTAGTTTGTTATAACAAAACGGAATAAACAAAAGTGATCAATTAATTGCACTGGCATTATCGTATGTGACACAAAGAGGAAATGTTTGAAAAGATAAAAGCCATTATAACAATAGTAAAAAACAACAACAACAAACCCCTTTGATATGAGAAAAAAACATAATACATGTATATATAAAGAAAAGCGTTTGTTTCATTACACTGATTATATATTATCATAATAGCAAACCTATTGTTTAAAGAAATGCAGTGATCTTCATAAAAATGCATTATTTAAGCACAGGATTCATTATTATACATCAATGAAGGATGATATTCTTTTATCGTTTATTGACAGAATTGCTCACCTGAATTTCGTCGTGTTTGCTGTGGTGTAGCATTGTGAACACGTAATCCTTCCTATTACGTCGTGTCGGTTGTCGTGACGGGGCAACGGGGATTCGGCCTCGCTTTAAGCATTCCCGCCATTTTACGCAAATAAAGACGCCAAGACTTACACCGCCTCCTATACCAATCAAGGTTACTGTTATTATAAATCCTATGAGGACAGCGTCTCCTGTGCCAGCCATGGACAATTCTGAAATCAAAATGTAAAATAAATCATTACGTCACCTTAGTGCAGTAACGTAATAATGTATTCTAAATCCAATAAGTTAATCAGTTATTGCACTAAGGTGACGATCTGATCTTTCTTTTTATGCAATTGTGTAAAACATTATTTCAGTGTTCATTATATCAGTTGTTTATTTTTTCCGTTATTCACATTACGTTTTTATATATTTTTTAAGGCAAATTTAGTCGTAGAAATACATATATTTTCAGTTTTTAGAAATGTCAAACATTTTTTTTATAATATTTTATTAGTGGATTAAGAGCATGCAACATGTTTAACAACCGATGAATAACATGCAGTTATGTGTTGTAAAGGTTGCAAAATGTAAACGCAGTAGTATTTTGACATCCATACAAAATGGTAAGAAAGCTAAAGAAGCAAAATATAATTCTATACGGCAAATTGGTATTTTCAGAAACTGTGACAAAATATTAAACATGAAAGTTTCTGAGAAATAAAAATGGTAGCAATGACATAATGAGCCTATGAATATGTCTGTTCCTCATATTGAGTTTTAACTGGTTGTATTGAAGTTATCTACACACAACTGCGTAAATTTGCAGCTTAATTTATTCTTATATCATTCACCTGCAAGGTTTTTTTTATAAAATATTTAGAACATTTAAAAAGTAATGGAAAATAAAAGGCACTTACGTTTTTTCAACGTGAACTACATAATTCCTTTAACGCGTAGTTTAATACACAAAAATGTGTTAAGATATTCTGGTTTAATACTGTACATGTTAATCTCAAGCCTTAGATTAGAGAAGGATAAAATGTTAAGAGATTAATTCTTTAATAATTTAAAAATAAAATCAGGCACATTATACATTTCACCTTAACTTTTTATTATATATATAAATATATATACACACACTCACAAAAACAAAGTCAAGGGACAAAATCATTATTCAAAGTATTTATATGATCATTTATGCGTTGCACATTGACGAATGCAGTTTTTTAGGCAATATTTACAATCCCAGCTATTTTGACATTAGTTTTAATCTTGTTTAGGTGTTTTTATGTTATACCCTGTGTATTGTTTATATTATTAAATATGGCTGTCACAGAGTATTTATTATATGTCAGTAAACAGTAAGTGTCTTGAAAAGCAGACGCTTATTCCTATTTCTGGAATATAAATAAAGATTAATATAAAAAGATTATGTTGTGATTATATTTCCTTCATATTTTTTAAGCCAAAGTAACAGTTAGTCGCCAACTTAAAGCATCGACCAACTGGTCCTTTAAGGCGCATTATTTTGTAGATGTACTTTTATTTTTATTACTCAAAATCTTTTTATTTTTGGAACCCTTTTATAATTTCCAAACAGTTACTCATTGCCTAATTTTCTGAACAATCTTTTGATTTTTTGCCATTAGTACAGTTACACTGATTTGATATTTTGTATGGAAGTGTTTTTTTTAAAATTATATGTGTATCGTTTATTGCGAGCACAAGCACCTGTTACTTCTAATCGCTTATTTGCAATTTATTGTAAAGCAGATCAACAAAAAACAAAACAACAACAACAAAAAAAAAAAAAAAAAAAAAAAAAAAAACAGAAATTCGCCTACTAAATCCAAAAAGTTTCTTGTCGCTATTGCATTTCTTTCTTATCATTATTAAAAACGTAACAATAATCTGTATTGTAAATAATGCAATATACAAAAGATGAAAAGGGTTGGATGCTGACCTGTTTTGGAGATAGAAATACGGGCATTCAAAGAACATAATTTACATGACATTTACAAGTGATAACGTGACCAATACACGTTCTATACACAAACATGTATTCAGTGAAGTCACCACATGCCTAATGGCATCATATATTATAACGGCTCGCATGTAGAATTTTTTTCAGAAATCGTCTTCAATTATAGCTTATTACTCCGTCAATTTTTTATCAAGATATAACGCAAGCCATGCAGAAATATGCACAATTGAAAATGTCGCTAGAATATTTACTTTTACAAATGTTCAATTTTCACTTACATGTCATTGAGAAATCTAAAATATATTTTATCGGACAAAGGAATCATAAGTGAATTTACTCGGCCGTCTAACTGTTGCTATGGTATTTCTATAAATGCAGAATCATTAATTATCAAAATATTGTAATTACATTGCATACGGAATACCTGTCCAGTTGTTCTTGTAGCAATTTCTGCGTTCTTCGAAAATATGCACCGGGATAAGTGGTGACTTCCATGGTGTTTCTATTTTTAGAATGGTCCTCAATACCATTAATAAATATGCTGATAGTATTCAGTATCAGTCATTACAACAAATAACAAAAGACACATTTACAAATGTTGTTGGTAGGTAAGACAGACATGAAGCGATATTACATATCGGTGTATAGCAGATAATACTTCGTTTCAAAACAAAATATTATTATTCATCTTAAATATGTTGATGCTCAAGCATGCTCATTCTATAAGCATTTTCTCATAATATGCAAATGAAACAAATATTGTTATTTTTTTAATTTGTATTTGAAAATTTTCTCACTGTACACCAATCCACTTTAAAGGACAATTGATTACGTAAAGCTTTGATCACACCATTTATTCCTATCCCTTTAAAGCGATGTGGTGATGATGAGTTTAAAGCTGTCCTGCAAGTAAGAGTCGTTGGATGTTTGGGTCACAATTAATTTGCCTCATATTCGTACACGTACGTTATCAATTTCTGGACACATTTTCTATTTGCACTTCTATCGCATTCATCAGTAACATACGATTGTCATGTATCATAATACTATGATTTTTATAACGTCACGGAAACGCCACCTTTGTTTCATTGATGTTTACGGAAGGCCAATGATTTTACTCAGGTGCTCGCTCGAGCCTGAGGTGCACTTGATACCATAATCTACCAGTAAAGTACGGAAGTCGACATAAGACCTTTACATTGTCGTTTTTATTTAAATTCTAATAAAACAAACAAACAAACAATTTCCATAGAGTGCTATATCTTAATCATATATATAAATCAAATCAAGTTGCTATGTTTTTACTATATAAAACATTGAAATAATACACGTATTCATGAATATGAAAGTAATGAAACGCAAGGAGCAAAAAGACAAAGAAACACAAAAGAAATGAAAAAATAAAGTAAGTGGTCAAGTCCGTAAGTCTCTTTACGGGTGTTCCGACTTTCTTTATGAGATCAATAACGATGTAATGAGTGATTAAAGAAAATGATGATATATTCCGGATTTTTTTTCATTGTTGGTTAATGCCATTGCACTATGTGGCGACCAAGAAAGGTCTTTCCTTGGTTCTCATGTAAGTGTTATAATACTCGTATATTGTAAAAAATTCTTCGGGCGAATCTTTATGACCTCTGTGTTTTTGTTATATCTTGTAGCACAGCTTAAGAACTGAATACTGTGAATTCACTTAATTTCGTGGGCAAGAAATTTAGTGGTTTTGTGACAAAAATAAATAAAAAAACCAAAACATTTCCGTGCGCGGATTCTTTAATTCGTGTTCTGTTTATTTTTCCAAAAAAGGTAAAATGTAAATAAAGTAATGCAAAATCTTACGGCAGACGAAATAAAATTTCGTTGGATCATAAATTCGTGGATTGACCTATCCACGAAAACCACAAAAATAGTTTCCCACGAATAATAATGACTTTGCAGTAAATATTCTTTTGTTATCATTAATAACTTGATATATTTGTATATCCATGATCCAGACGATATCATATGATTACAAAATTATAAAATTCTTATTCATATGACTACTTGAAGATGAATGCATCAGATGGACCGGGCCAATCATTATTTACACGCTCCAATGTCTTTTTTCGTTGCTGCTCCATTACACTATTTGGATATCATCTCAATCGCAACTTCTGAAATTGCAAAAACATTTCTATTAAGTTACATGCAATTTATTTTTCAGATCAAGATAACAGTTTTTACAAAACGTGCAGTTGTTTTTTAGCATCAACAAACCTGATGTGATCTACAAATAAATAACAATGGTTATTATTCCTTGTTGAACGAATAAAGTATCGTGCCAAAAAAATAGCGAAAAAAAAACCCCACAACAGAATCCCTAAAGAAAGCCAAACACGACATACATGAAAATGTTGACGGCTCGGTTTAATTGAGTCTGTTCATGGTCGGTGCTGGAAAGTGCAAGTAACCGTTCACGCCCCCCACCCAGCACCGGCATAAGCAGAATTCAACATTAAAACACGAAAATGATAAAATTTTGAATTTAGAAACATCCTCAAATATATTCATACGGCCTTCAATGTGACACATTCGTGCCATTCCATGAAAAGCGGCGTATGGTCCCAAAGTAAAAGAATGCGTGTGCCCTAAAGGAGAAAAAAATGGGCGGAACTAAATGAAATGACCTGCTATTTTAAGATAAGTTAATTACCATAACGTTGTGTCCGTTCATTATTCTGTTGTCTTGTCTTATATCTGTCGGTATAGTTGTTCTTGCTCCTGACAGCAACATTATTAATGATGAAGGGATTTGTTGTCGGGCGTGTTGGCCCGTTCAGTCTGTTGGTAAATTTTATTTTCAGGCTATCAAACACAACGTATAATAAGCAAGCTGCAAGGGTGATACACGCCAATGCGCAAAGGAACACCAATACAATAATGTAACTCGTGGTAAGAGTAGACATCAACCTAAAATAGATGATAACAAAGAGAGTCAGGATACTTAAAATGTATTTGCATAATTCATCAAAGCTTTCTGTAAAATGAAAATCATCTACCGTTACAAAATGTGCTTATTTTGGAGCTATTGAAACTACCTTTACAGTTCCCAATTAGGTATGTATGTATGTTTGTGTAAAACAATATCAAGTCGTACAAAGTTTGCTTTTTTGACGCTTTAATGTATTCCAACTGTGTTTACAAAGAACAAATAATTTTATAACCACTTCTTTAAACAAGAAATGTATTCATTTAATTATATTTATAAATGTCAACAATTGATTTATGAAATGACAAAAATTTAAAAACTATTTGTTTGTTATTTCCGATTGAATGTTAACTGTTTTGTTTTTTGTTCAAAATATTGGTTAATGTTCGTTTCGTCTAGAAATAACACGATGTGTTTTGAGCGATTCGGTAATTATTACTTGATTCAGGAAAGACACATTTTAGATGCCAGTAGACATAGTCTAGTTACCTTTGCTTTAAATGTCCTGCTAAAAGATTACGGTCCAACTATAGAAAATGACAGTGGAAACTCAATGTTGAAAGCATTTAAACATAGGTAACACTTAAGGACAGAGTTAGTCTTTAATGTAAAGAAATGTTGCAAGATTTACATCATCTTCGGTCAAGTGAATGATAATAAAAACGTGTTCAAATCTCTCAAAAATGGAAAATGTACCATCAGGAAAACCTGAATTTGTTTATTTGATTGTTTGTCACACTCACACAGTATAAGTCATATGGCGACGTTCCAGCTTTACTGGTGGAGGAAGACCTCAGGTGTTCTTCCGAGCATTATTTCAGGCACGAACTGGCATGTGAGTAGAGCCATAGATGTTCCGTAAGCTAGCTGGATAGATACCTAACATGAAAGAATCCAAAGTCCCTGTCGGGATTCGAACCCACAGCGGTAGCTTGAAGTCAACGACCTTTAACCACTCGACCACCGAAAACCCCTTTTTAAGTTTTTGACAATTATTTACATAATGAAATGTAAACAAAATATATAAAAGTCGATGTATCGCTAACAATTTTAATATTAAAGATTTAAACAAATCATTTTTCTTGTCTTGAAAAATGCAAATTTCTTACCGACTTTGTTGCTATGTCCTTGTCATATTAAGGTACGAAGTATCAATTTCTCAATGTTCGCACTTTTATCAAGCCTTCAACAAAAACCAACATGGTACCTTTTCTTACTTAAATCAATGTATACTAATGTAAATATACAAATGTAGATACGTTCTTGTACAGGATTAGTGTTTAAGCAGATTTTAATTTCATGCTTTTCAGATTATTTAGTAAGCATTGCGTCAATTTATTATGTTTTGATTCATTGTTATTGTATTAGCTAATGTAAAATATATTTAATACAATATTACTATTTTCGGAGAGGTCATAAGCAAAACTGTTCCGCTTTATTTTAATAAAAGGTAACACGTTTAACCTTTTTTCGGTTTTAACAAAATTTGATAACGATCCGGATCATGTTTCTGTCTTTTAAGGCCACCGGTAATGATTTTAAGTAATATTCGGATAATGTTACATGGTAATCGAGTATCATGCTGAATGACGTTTCACATTGAGAATTAGTTGAACAAAGTTTAATGCATAATGCATACTTGCTTAAAAATTAAGAATATCATACACGACATTAAGCTTACGTTTTAATTTGTTATTAGTTGAAGCATTTTTACGATTGCTTAGTGAAATTTCATATTTCAATTCAACCAAACATTAAATGTCGATATGAAAACAACATACATTTGTAAGCGTGCTCGGGCATACAGGCACTAAAATAGAGAAAATCAGAATCCCTCAAGAAAGCCCGACACGGCAAAATTGTAAATGTTGCAGGCTCGGTTTGATTGAGCATGTTCATGGACGGAACTGGAAAGTGCAAGTTACGGTCCCTTTTTAGTACCGGCTTAAGCACAATTCATCATTTAAACACGAAAATGGTTACATTTTGAATTAAGAAACAGCCGCAATCTACATCACTCATAGGAAATCATTTAACCAAATAACTCAAAAACAAGAACTTAGATTTCTTGTGGCGTTATTGTTTTATCAGTTGGACCAAAGTGTAAACGAGCTATTCTTGACAATTCCTTTGGTTTTTTTTTTAAATAGATCGCTCAAAACGTGTTTCGAAATGTGTAAAAATACGGTGTGATATATAAAAAAAGAGTAAGTGTAACAAGTAATGGTTTGGTCAATTTTACGAGTTCAGCTCTTATGTCATCAGGTTCAACCATAATTGCCTGAAAATTTTGCAATTGGTCTGTTGTTTTTTGTTATCGGCAGATCTCCATATTAAAGAATAGGGTAGAATGTTATACGCGTTTTTGATCAAAAGGTAAAAAAAGGAAACCTAAGGGTCGTCCAGCGAGCTAAATGGAAAATAGTACAGGCTTAGTTTGACTAAGAATGTTCATATAGTAGTAAATACCACTGACCACGCCCATAGCACAAGCCAATTTTTAGTCAACCAAATTTACCCTTGCAACCACTGCATATCAAGATCAACAGACACATCTGCCTTCGCTATTCGACAGGTATTTATTTTGAAAATTTTGCTATTACTGATTAAAATAGATAAAAACAGTATTCCTAAAGAAAGACCAACACGGCAAAATTGAAAATGTTGCAGGCTCGGTTTGATTGAGCCTGTTCATGGACGGCACTGGTAAGTGCAAGTTACCGTCCACGCCCCCTAGCACCGGCTTAAGCAGAATTCAACATTTAAACATGAAATAGTAAAATTTTGAATTTAGAAACAACCGCAGATGTGTTCATTCGGCGGTTATCATGGAACCTTCAATTAGACACTTCCGTGCCATTCCATGAAAAGTGGCGTATGGTCCCCAAGTAATAAAAAGCGTGTGCCCTAAACGAGAAAACAATGGGCGGAACTGAATAAAATGGAATTTTGAAAGGGGATCAGAGGTTATGAAGCCTGCGTATCACAGATAAGACGTCAAAAGACAAATTTAAAAAGCAGGCAACATATCCTGAGGGTGATTCAATATTAATCAAGTAGGAATATATATTGGAACCACCCAACTAGAAAAGCCGAAAAGTTGAAATTAAAAATACCACATTAAGTTTTGTACAGATTGAAAAATGAAAAGTATTTTTTAAGAGAAGAAGCATGTTAACGCTCAAGCCAGATGTTGAAAAATTTGAGATAGTATTTTAATTTAGAAATTGATCAATAAGAAATAAAAACACCTCTAGATATAAATATAATACAGGTGATTTTTTATGGTTGTGATAGTGACATTTGGCCATATGAGTTATTTAATGTTCATATCAAAACAATTGTAAAATTGAAATCAATTATGACAAAATGTAACCTTTTTTTGACTTTCGCCTGTTCACTCATTATATACTCTTGGGCGGGCATAGTGCCAACTTACATTAATCGTAGCATATAAATGAATACAACAACTGAGTTGTTTTATGTTTATTATTTAATATTAAGTTACAAAAATGGGTAAATACATGTAATAACGTGACAAGCTTACACATATGCACCTTTGAAAAATTACACATGCATTATACAATATATTCGAGATAAAAAACTAAATATATGAATATTTACACAGAATGAAACAACTAAATATACATAAAACACATTACTTTACAGTGTATGAAACATAACAGTCAAATAATGGTCACGCGATGTGAATTTTTATTTAGACCTTGGACAAAATACAGAAATCCTCATGATGGTGAAATATGAAATACTTGTAATATAAAGAAGGCTTTAAATACTTTACAACGTTTCTTTACAAGCAAAATATTACAACGAACAAAGTATTCACTTTGAAAACATGCATTTACTCAGGAAAAGAAAATATTTTATGTATAAAACAAACAATTTACATTATGTTCAAAGTTATCAATAACTTTATCATTCGCTGACGAAAAAAAAAACAGCAGTAATATCCAATTACAGTTAAACTTCGTTCGCTCGAACTCGGATCGCTCGAATACCTCCCTTCGCTGGAACTCACCCCCAAGTCCCGGCAAAACTCATTTTATGATATTTTTTTACCTCGGATCGTTTGATCTCCCGAACCTGATCTCTTGTCCTTTTGGCAGAAGTATAGTTAAAATCACATCTTCGAACACAAAAAGACAACGATAATTGCAGGACGACATGTTTTTAAATAACAACACTTGTTTTAACACCTCGTGTGCGTAATAAAGGCAATTAAGGTTAATTGATACAAAATTAGAGGTACTGCTACAAATTTCTTTGTTATGATAATTTTGTTTATTTGCTGTCTTTAGTAACGATAAAAAGAACATAACTCGATAAATAAGTGTAATGTGCAAGTCAATAAATAGATGACGTTTATCCGGACGGCTTTAATTATAGCCGTGGTGCGTGTAATGTGAAGATTTAAAGAATGATACTTGTACGTGTGTTTATTTTGATAAATGACTACAAAAACTGCTGTTAAATGGGTTCTTTAATAATTTGATTAATTCATTGTTTAAAATCAATTTTATCTTATAAAAAACATAGAAATATTATGAACATTGTTCAACAAGATTGGAAAATGATTGCCCAATCTAACTCAACCAGTTACAATATGCATAAATATAGAATACACATTAACACAGGTTACCGTTAATAACTATTTGAAAACAATTAGATACTAATTCTTAATAATTAAAAAAGAAATGACGTATTCGACGAACAGATGTACTAACAAACAATCATATTGACGTATTTATCATTCGACCGATGTAAGCTAGAAAGCGTTTAGGCCTATGTTCTACGTGAAAGTTCAACCTCGGTTGGTTTCAATAACCGATCTCTCAAACAAATTTGCACAGACCCTCCGAGTTCAAGCGAACGAAATTCGACTGTATAAGCATACATTTTTGTGTGTGACTATGCTTAATGCATGTAGGCATGACGACATATAAGCCAAAAAATATAGTCTTTTCTCTGGTGCACGTCTATCTATTTCTTTACATATTTTATACTTCTTTTATTGATTTATCCCTTTTGCTTGCCTTGAATCCATATGTATGTCTTTGCTTGTCTTTTTGTGCATCTTGGCGACATTATAGTACAAAGTGTATGAGTAATTAAATTTTGTGATCTTCGAGTATTCAGTTTGTTTCCTTCAACTACATGTTGTATCGTCATTTGCACATGAAACAATTAGAAATATCTACACATTTCACACTGGTGACTAATGTTTGTTACCTTTCATTGTAGAATTTTCTAATCAATCTCTGAGATAATGACGACTGTAAATGAACAAAAATGATTTCAAATATATTTATGACAAGTATAAAAGATCTAGTATTGGTAAACATATGATTTTTTGCTTTTACATATTGAAATGAATTAAGTCAATTCTTTTAATTTAACAAAACTCTGACATTTTTACTATTTCTTTCCAGATATAACTCTCAAATTTTGTTTTTCCAAATTTTCGAACTTGAAATCTATAAGAGAACACAATGGTTAGCAATATTGGTTTTTACATCAATTGATCTTTTATTGGCAATTATTCGTTTCCGAAGTAGATTTTGTGTCTTATCCTGCAAAGTTTCTTATCTGGACAAGATTAGTTAAAACAAAAAGTTTTTGTATGTGTGAAAAAGTTAAATGTATACAACATTATGCCATTTGCCTGCCTAAGCTTACAAATTGAAAATAGAGAGTAAGAAACTAAATGAAACCTTCATTTTATTTCAGACACTTAAGTCGTTAATATGGATTAATGTAGTGACAACCATACACCCATAATAAAAAAAACTAAATGTGTAAGTCGAAATAATTTACGATAACCACAGATAAATTAATAATTCAATTGAGGCAAATATTGTCAAACATTACATGTAAATTTGTGCTGATAAAAAAAAGAGAAGAAAAGAAGAATTTCCCATACCATTCCTGTTATTGGACGCTGGTTTAGATATTGGCGCACCATTTCTTATTTGTTTATTTACGTTGGTACTGCTAATAGGTTGCTCGGCGTTGGTAATGAATGGATTTCTTGTGGGTCCGTTTTGTCTGGGTACGAATTTAACATTACGACTCTCTCTGACCAAGTAGATGATACAGGAAACAACGGCCACGATAGCAAATAAGCCCAGAAAACTCAACGCAACAATATAACTCGTGTTGAAAACCATTGGGCTTGAAAAATAAGAAGTTGGTTTCTATAGATTTTAATATAAATATTGAAAACATAATCATGTAATTACGCAATCATTATT